CTGCTTCATAGGTTGGATGCAGGCAGAAGAACTGCAGTCAAAGCAGTTTTTGGGGAAGTAGCCAGAAGTGTTTAGATCCATCTCTGAGTATTAATAGTGTTCTTATCATTGAACTGACACTACCACCCATGAAGTTAATTTAAATGCTTAATAACTTTTCAAGGTTCTTCAAGATCTCAAGCAAGTTTTGCCTGTTGTATGCCTTACTCTGTTTTGCTATTAGGTGGTAACTACCTGCCCCTACGTCATTCAGGTACTTCTGGGAACGTATGCCAGCCAGAAACTTTTCTAGTCAGATTAAAAGGTGTGTAAGGAGTTCAGATGTCAGGAAAATCAAAGCAGTGTACTGGGAACTGGGTAGGTTGGACTGTTGCTTAGAACTCTGTGGGATTTACATGCCTGTGATTCACTTTGAGTAGACCAGAAATCAATGGCACTTAGTTTGAAACCCCTTATCCACTTGAAAGAAGAGATTCCAAGCAAGCAAGCAGGATCCAGTAAAATCTGTGTATGACTTTTAAATTTGGTTGAAAAGAGATTGAAAGTAAGATATCGGGAGTATTCTATCTTGGGTGACTCCAGTTGAATACTCTACCAGGTCCACCTGCATTCTATGCAGTTACTGCTGAGTATTATGTATTCTGTGATGTATTCTAGTTCCAGGCTAATAAAAGATGTAAAGAATCTACAAGGTGATAGTAAGTTTGGCAAATGTTAAAATGACTGTTTATCTGTGAGCAAAAGACCTGGTAATTCCACAGAATTTCCATCATAAGTGAAAGCTGTAATGATAAAAATAATAATGATAACTAATTCATAGGGGACCTCTTAGGCAAATGAATCTTACTACTAATATATTTAGAAAAGAAAGCCAAGAAAATATCAGATGTCTGCATTCTTTGAAATAATTTGAGTAAACTAACGTGGTAGTGAATTTACTAATTTTTTCCTGTTGCTTCTATGTTATTTAGCCACTTCAGGATTTTTTTTCTCTTGCATAACGATCCTGAAAGCTATTCAGTCTAAACAAGTAGCCTTTCTGTTCTTTGTTTGCACTAACCTAGAAACAAACGGACTTGAGCAAGGACACAGAGCTTATGTGAGATTTTATGCATATATATGTAGCTGGATGTTTCTCGTACAGATATAATAAGGAGTGAGTACCTGTGGACTGTACAGCTATACATCTTGGATACTTAAGGGTTAGGCTGACATAAGTGCCTTCTGATGGCTTGTTAGGCTAGATCTATCATGAGGCTCCCAAGGGATGGATTTCTTAAGGAAAAAAAAAGTTACTTTGACCACAATTATTTGATATTATATTCATAGGTGTAAAATAGCAGTTTATAGTTTCACTTGTCTATTTCCCTTGCTCTGGATCTGCCGCTCTGATCAAGAAATTCAATAGCTATTAAAAGCTGCAGCTGTACTAACAATCTTACGCTTTATAGGGGCATTCTGTAGCTATTACTTTAGTACAGGCATTCTGTGCCAGTACAGATGTTGTCTACTTTTTCATAAGATTTTATCTGCACCATGGGCATTGCATTTCTAATGTTTGCTCAAAATTGCTAAACACACTCCATAGCTGTAATTTATTTGGGCTGGTGCAGTTTAAAGACCTGGAATCTAGATCTGCACCTGTTCTATTCATCTGACCACGAAAGCACTAATTCAACGCATAAGCATTTGTTGAGTTTAGATCTCTTCTTTATAAATCTTAGGAACCACATGCAGCCCTTTTGATTTACACATATGTTCCCCTTTCCTGAGGTGGAAGTTTCTTGCATATGTATCACCAAATTTAATTTTTCTGATATTGAAGGGAGAACATATTGCTTGATCTAATGGAGGACTGGCATTCAACTCCATTTCCTCTCCCAGTCAATCTATCTCCAAGTAATCAAAGTTAAAATGTTAAAGATGAAATATATAGAAGGGTGTGTGTGAAAAATGGAGCCTTCTGCTAGCATGATGAGACTGGTTTCATTTTGGAAATAGAATGACAGTGCAGGTAACAGTGAATTTGCATTAATATAAGAGGAGAGAGTTGGAATAGGCTGTGATACTTGCAACTAAGTAATAATTCTAAATATTGAATATTGATCTAGTATAAAAACCATGCATTCAAAACTTTCAGTCCAAAATTTTGGAAGACACACAAGAGCCAGCCTAACTTGCAAAGACAAAAAAAAACTCAAAAAGCCAAGACCAACCAAACAAAAAACAAAACAAAACAAAACAAAAAAACCCAAAGCAACAAAAACCACCCCAAGTCAACCAAGCAAGAAAGCATCTGTTCACTGGGGTTTTTCAAAACCAAAGCCATGTCCCACGTTGCCTAGTTCTGCCAGAGATATATGTCATGTGGAGACATGCCATAAAATATGATTCAAGCCAACCCTTCCCCTAAAGTAAATAAATACAGCCACAAAGACCAAAATGATTTCTGGCATTTTAAAGATTTTACTCCACTTACTTTTGGTGCATTGTTAATATTGAGTTAAAGAAAGGGTTAGTCTGTAAGTATTGTTGTTAAAATAATAACAACAACAATGAAATGTTAAAAAACAAACAAACACAAACAGAATCAGAATCGTTAAGGTTGGAAAAGATGTTTGAGGTCATGTAAATGAACCATCAACATAACTATGCCCACTGTACTATGTCCCTTGAATGCTTTCAGAAACGGTGACTCCATCTCCCTGGGCAGCCTGTTCCAAACCCTCACCACTCTTTGTGAGAAGAGAAATTTCTCTTAATATCTAACCTGAACCTTCCCTGGTGCAAACTGAGGCTATTACCTCACGTTCAATTGCTAGTTACTTGGGACAAGAGGTTGAACCCCTCTGCGCAACAGCCTCCCATAGCTTCCGTAGTCCTGCTGGCTCCGCTATTTCTGATAGAAGCCAGGATGCTGTTGGTCTTCTTAGCTACCTGGGCACACAGCTGGCTTACTTTCTGCTGGTTGTTGACTGATACTTGCGGATCTCCTTCCTCTGTGCAGCTTTCCACCAATTCTGCTCCACGCCTGTAGCGTTGCATGGGGTTTTTGTGACCAAAGTGCAGGATGCGGCACTTAGTCTTGTTGGAGTTCAGACAGTTGGTTTCATTCCATAAATCTGATTTATCCAGATCCCTCTGTAGGGCCTTCTGAAGCTAATTGAATGCAATAGAATGGAGAAGTATCCCTGTCTGAAAATAAAGTACAAAGCAATTAAAGAACAGAACCATATGTGGAAGGGAAATGAAGGGAGTAAAAGGAAAGAAGCTTATTTGAAATATATATTATGGGAATAGTGGTTAAATACTGAAGAAAAGATATTACTGGTAACTACATACTGAAATGATATACTCCGGAAAGAATAGTGCGTTTAGGCTTTGGATACCCTTTTGAAACTTCTGGTGACACTGATCATCAATAATACAAGCCACGTTCAAGATGCCCATACCTCAATTAATTCAGCTAATAGCAGAGCAGAATTTGGCCCCTTAGATTTAGGATGTCATCAGAAGCTCTAGATAGAATTACAGTCATGCTATATGCAGTTGAGTGTATATAATTCTTCATGTAAAATTCATGTGCTATATGTTGTAAAAGAAATGAAAGGTAGCTGTTAATTCCAAGGCTTATAAATATGTCAGTGGGTTTTCGTAATGTCTTAATAAATTACAAGAACAAACTTAAATGAGTCATGATGTCAACCAGAACCACATTCTGCACTGTATTTATTATAATTATGTAGAAAACCCTACAGAGTTGTTTTACTTTTTACATGAATATATAGATCCCACTGCGAAGTCAGAACAATCCTTGTTGGTTTCTTCATTCTTTGTTTGCTGTCTTTCAGCTGTTCTTGTGATCTGAGCCTTTCTTCAAATTGAGAAAATTCATCTTTAAACGCAAGATGTGTTTAAAAGAATGTTACTGCAGCTGCTATATTTATTCATTGAGAAGCTGAAATAAAATACAGTTTCCAAATATCCTCAAATTTGGGTGAAGTTCAAATTTTCCTTGGATCTTAGTTTGCTGGCTGGCCACCTTCCCGTATCACTAGTGGTGTAACCAGCTGAAAACTGGAAAAACAATTTCATGAAAATTGCAAGACTGTTTTGGCTTACATCTGAAGTGTAGAGATAGCACAATTATCTTGGTTTCAGTAATGCATCGTTAATTCATCTGAAAAATGAACTCAGGATAGACTAAACGCTGTGTGTAAGTTAAGTATGTGAGACTTCAGCGTTTCACAACCAGTAAAGTAAACCTAGGGTGTAAAGAAAAGGTTCTTTGGTGCCCCTTGTCCAAGCTGGTTTTTATCCTGGCAAACTAAATTTCACGATTTAAATGTTATTTTATACCAACAAATATATAGAGTGACCTTGCTTTCACTGATATGCTTAGGTGTTGCCTTCAGCGGAACGGAATCTGCTACTTGAGAGTGGAGAAATGCAAGAATTCAACATTGCTTTCTTTTTTTATGACCCTTATTTAAATCACTGCAAATGGTGCATCTGGATTTAACATGCGTTTATCAGATGATGGGCTGCTCTGAAGATGTTAAATGAAAAAAACAAAGGAATCGCCCAGTGTTTCTTCCACACTTACCCAACTAGTTTTCCAAAATATATATACCTGAAAAGCCTGTATGGGAAATTCCTTTGTTCAAGCTGTGAGTACATTCACATATTGCTTGTAATGAAACAGGTATCTTTTCAATAGGGAGGTCTTAATTTTTGCTCTCATTTATCCAGGAGCAAACAGGAAACCTCAGTCCAAACTTCTCTTTCCAAGAATAATAGCAATGTCAGTCACATTTAATGAAAGCATCGTGGAATTTATATAAATAAAGCCAGAGTGCATTTCAAAGAATATATGAAATGCTGGCATTTTGCTTTTGCTGACAAGATCAAAGAGCCGATTTCAAATTAAAATTGTCCTGAATTTTAAATTATGTATGTAGTAATAATAAAAATATTGAAAAGAAAAGCATTACATGTACTTCGGGTTATAGGATAAAGTTTAATATATTTTATTAGCTTAAGGGACACAGAATAGCTATCTATCCAGAACTTCAGGCATGCATTTACATAAATATATTAAATTAAGAAAAGCAATTATACACTTAAATGTCCTTTTGTCTAGAAAATCATTAAATCCACAGATTAACAATAAATCCAACTCTATGCATTTATCACTTCCAGATACAACTGTTCAATTTCTTAGATATTACACAAATACATTTGTTAGAATTTATATGCATTATACATATATTATATATTACATAATAGTGTGTATACATACATGATGTTCAATAATATAATTATAATTTGTACTTTCGTAGCACTTTTCATTTGAAGAGCTCAAAGCGCTTTACAAGGATTGGTTTCACTGCTTTTCAGACGGAAGTTGGAGGCACAAAGATGCAATTGTTTAAGATTATCTAGAATTTGTGACACAAAGTAACTGAATTCTCTTGCTTTGAACTTCAGCCATGCTGTCTCCCTAAAAAGAAGTACACCTAGCTTATGTAATCTATGTAGGTAGACTTGCAACGACTTGTAAGTTCTCAAAGCAAGAAAGCAATTATATTAATAATGTTAAGCACATGACTTAGGTGAGGTTCATGTGCTTAAAGTTACTTGCGTGCTCCTGTGCTCTGCTAGACTGGTGCCTGTATATGCTTAGTATTATAATACAGATTATGGACATAAACATAGTTTGAATTATGTTTCCTAAGCTATTTTCCCACATTTCAAATGTACACACAGTACTTGATGGCTACTATAAAATAGAGCTACTTGAATGGCAGAGCATCACAACAGTTATGTTCTTAAGTGACAGATTTTTGTTATTTCTTTTTCCTTTCCTGCTTGGCTCCCATTAAAATCTAATTGTTCTCCAAAGGGAATTGGAGTTCTCATTCTGTAGTGTGTTTTGTGGGGAACAGCTAATAGCATTGCTGGATAATTCAGAGGGTAGAATTACCTCTTCTGGTATTAGTGGTGATCTCTACAAGATACATGTGGTGACCTAATACCATATGGTTTCTGGTCTTGATGTAGCTTGATAGGAATTAAGGCCGTTCCGAACAACACCGGTTGTGAAACTGCCTAGAGTGTTTTTTCCTTGAGTGACTCTTCTAAATTCTGTTCAGAAAATGGGATTTAGTTGACATGATGCAAGTTACGTTTTTGTTCTACGACAAAATGCATCCTGCACTCAGACGCAGGAAAAGACAAACAGCCACATGTCTCTGTCTTCTTCCCATTCAAGAATTTTGGGAACACAGCCACTGCGTACATTCATGTACTTCAGCTGGCACCCTTTTTCTGGAATTTCTGAGAATTTAAATGATTTTTTATTGAAAGTTTTTTTTTTTCACTTTTGCTTTCATTTCAAACTGAAAATAAATGGGAAAATGTTACAGAATTTAAGAGGAACTTAACTATAAGGTGTGTGAGACCTTACTGGTCATATATAGCAGGTAGGAAGTTTTGGTTATTTTATTCTCAGAGATAAAACTCTTCTGCAACAAGCCAGGTTGCTGTTTGAGCATGTTAGCAGTAAATTCTGACACTTTTGATTGTGGAAGCTGATGTGTGTACAGTACACAATAGGTAAAGAAGTGCATTAAATACATGTAGTACAAAGCATTAATTTTTGTGCATTCCCGTAGCATGAAATGATCGGTAGAGTTATGTGTTCAGCATCTGGAGTTCTGGTAAGCTGATGTGTCACTTGGCTTTCCAATCAAACTGCACAGCATAAAGAAAAGCTTCCATGGAAGCCTATGAGAGTTTTAGTTGAGTAATGGGATAGCATGATAATCTTTTCCCAATACGTAGGCCAAATTAGTAATTATTAACAACTCAGGAGTGAACTGAAAGAAAAAGGTTGATTGAACCATTTATACAGTGCTGTGAAATTAAAATATTTCTCTTATCCATGATAAAGCATTAATAATACTGTCCGATCGGTCAGTCTGTCCAATATAAATTTATGTAGAATTAATTGTTATACTAAAATTGTTTATTGTCTGTTCTGTATTTTACAGCGTGATAAATTTCTAGTGCACGCTGTTAATGGAAGTCAGCGCATACAAAGGCAAGCAGACAAACCCTTGGCCTGGCATGGGCCTACAGAAAACCTGTTTGTGTCCGGTCTTGCACTTGTTTATACCTGCTATTTTAGTACTTTGAGTAGTCTCCTTGCTTTCAATCTTACTATTCTTACTTATTAGTATGGTTAGAACTTTAGTTGTTGTTGTTTGATCAAGATATATTTTTGATTGCAGTATTACTCCGTTCCTACATAATACATGGAGAAAGGTTTGAAAATGTGCCTAAATACATTGAATAGAGCTTCTGTAAAACTGGACTCAGAACAGCTGCAGGAACCTTTCCATTGATATTTGTCAATTGGGATGCTGTCTTTTCCGTGGGGGCAATTTTTGGCTCTGCCTTCTTACGTGCATTTCATCAAATGGAACCGCTGACTTATTGTTTAAATTATTTTCCTGCTTAGTGGCATGCGCTTAAATATTTGACATAAGCACATATGTGCAAAGGAGAAAAAATGTGTATTAACTCCTCAGCATTTTTAAAGAAGTATGAAAAGTCTGGCAGTTATAACAGAACGCTTGTGTAACTGTTGGCAGTATTTATAAGGAAACTCAACAGGGTCGGATATGTTCTGTACTTAAAGACAGGTCTGAATCTGCAGTCCTGTTCTGGAAAACCTTAGTGAGTTTAATGACTGCAGATGCAGACAGAAAGATAATGTGTGCAGTGACATCTATAGTGAAGTTCTGCCAGCTAAGTGGATATCTTTTGAGGGCTTAATCCTATAATTATTGAAGTCAATAGGAGATTTTCAGTTGACATCATTGGACAGTGAATCAGGCCCTCAGAGTGTGAAGGAACCCTGCACTGAGCTTTCAGGTAGCTTCAGCTATTTCACACCTATACCCTAAATGGTACGTATTATTTCACTGGATTACTCCCCTTGTGAAAAAGAGGAAAGTTTTAGTGAAATGGTGTTACTTTTTTTCAGTATTTCTACAACATTTTTATCTGAAACTACCCTTGGAAATATTTGTCAGCTTTTTGTAACCTGAACTCAAATTGCTGGGTCTTTATTGTGAATTTGGGTTAGTAAAATACATCTTTTAAAAATTACTCCTGTAAAAGATTTCTTGGGCTGAAGTGCTTTTGGAGTCAAAGTTTTGTATATTTGTACATGAAAAGCAACGTATTTTCATCTGAGGAATATTGTTCTGCTTTTTACTTGAGGTATCTAATTACTGGATTGAAATCAGTCAATTTCTGACTGCCTCTGAGGCTGAGCAGCTGGAGGCTCTTACTCCTGAATATAACCAGTGTCCAGCTAAGCTACAGCACCAGAAGTCACTATAAGATGACAATTTGTGGAGCGATTGAAAGATAAAGGTCTCAGTCTTCTGGTCCAATTCTTTGATGCATCCATTATTATACAGTTTGAAAGAAAGGAAGCAACACCTGTGGCAACCTGGGATTATTGGGGTTTGCTGTGGTTCTAGAGAGGAATGAGCTGCAAAGCTGAAATGCAGAGAAGTGAATGAAAGGAGATTTAAAAACAAACAAAAAAAAGAGTTGTCATGGTTGCCAATATAAGACAGATTTTATTTATACCTAATTTAGAATTCAGATGCATGAAATGGAGTAACTTCTTAGGATTTCAAGGTACAGTGGACCTGCATTTGTGTCCCAGGCTGTTAATGGAAGAAATTTATTTCTTTCAGGTGAAAGGTTTGAGTTATTATTTCTTACTGGAGGCATCAGAAAAGTGAGCTTAATGTTGTTCATTGTTTGTTTGTTTTCCTTCTTATTTCTGAAGTGGGAGTAAAACCATTCGGAGCTAATTTAACATAACATCTTTTTTCTTTTTGTCTGAATACTTATATATGGACAAAGGACACTTCAAATATTCAAATAATATACCTTTTTTCTGATAAGAAGCATCTTAGAAACAGAAAGATTTTCCATCTTAAAATAATAAGATGAGAGCTGAAAACTACATCAGGAATAGAATTAGGCTTCTAGCAACAGGTATATTTATTCTCTTTTAACAATAGAAAGCCTGAAAGAATGCTCCAAATGTACAATGTACTGGGAACCGAGGGGGCAGTATCTCACAGTAAAGGAATAAATGAATGGAATAAAAGATTAGGAGCGACAGAGACAGAGACAACTTGAACACACACATAAAATCCTTTCTGGAGGCCCTTATCTAATTGCCTCATTTATCTAGTTTCATTTATAAGCTCAGTTTTATTCTTGGACACTTGCAGAGATTGTGTGAGAATGGCTGTGGAATGACCTGGCTGGCAGCAGGCTTTCTACAACCCCCCTTTTTTTTTTTCTTGTATGCCAATTCTCAGGCAATTACTGCAGTTGCCCTTTTTATATTAGCATCTTGGGTGGCTAGGCCTAGGCTTTACTTGCTGTTTTTAATAGTATAATTTCTTTTGATAAATAAGCAGTTGGGATTTTTTGTGTCTTTTTTTTGAGAATATTTCTCTTCCTCTGGGACTTCCTACATATCTATCTGGGCTTAATGCAGATGCCTGCTTTCACGTGATACCAAAAATGATTTAAAACTGAAGCAAAACACCTTTCACAAATTATTTCTCTTTTCCTCCTAATCTTCCCATAGATTTTTTTTTAGTTTTGAAGTCTTGACTCAAACTTTTTTTTTTCATTTGTTTTAATAAACGTAAGTATTTGTTTCAATTTTGAAAGTGGTTTTCTGGCTTCAGCACTGTTGATGAGAGCGCTTGGGGTTTTGTTTTGTTTTGTTTCTCCATTGGTTTGAATGAGACCTGGATTTAATTCTTTATTTTTAATAGCATTTAATTTTCTGATTCCACTAGTAGACTGAATTGTCTTTGTTATTAAGGTGAAGACTGTATTTTCTTTGTTAGCCCTTCTCTTCACAGTTATGGCACATAATGGCTATGTGTGTGCGTGACTGTGGCATATACATTACTGGGGATCTTCAATTTAGGTACCATCTGTGGAAGTTTGTGGAGTTTTTTTAAGCGTATGGAGTTTAAACAGTGAATCGAGCTATCACATCTCCCCAGCTGGCTACTGAGAATATCATGAATACAAGTTTATTTTGTAACATACTCATTAAGTAAAGTGTTAAAGATGTTGTCTCTGTCAGATACTTAAAAGTTGCTAAAATATTTCAGCGACTTTCTGGCTTTACCGATTATGAAGGGTGCAATAAAACTGCACTATCTGACAGATTTAGACAGCTGGCTCATTCATGAGAAGTTCACATTTTTGTCACCCACATTGAATAAGGAAAGATTAGATGGTAAGGTCAATTTACGAAAATGGTTGTCAGGACATTTTTAATTGTAAAACTTTTTGTGATGGAATTCAGGAAAAAGACTAAAGACAGAAAGCATTGGAGACAAAGAGCTGCTATTAACCTACACATGCTACTGCAGGGTTCATTTTCAGATTGGTCACACTGCTTAGCCAATGAAGTGTTAGTGTAACTATAAGGGACCACCCTTTTTGGGGTGAGAGGGCAATTCGGTCTTCATGCTCATTTAATCCTGAGATGTCTTTCAATGGACTGTCAGTTGAACCTACATTGTGCAAAATTATGCATGCACTTTTTAATGCAGACTATTGTTCTCTAAGCACTTAACCAAGATTTCTCAACCAATTTCCATTTGGCATGAGGTCACTTGAAACTCAAGCAAACATATATGGAAGGCAAGTGTAATTTTTTGTTCCTCTTAGCTAGAATGCTTATTAAGATAAATGCAAATAACATTTTCTATGTGCTTAAAAATTTACCGTTTATTAAATCAAAACTGACAACGTTCCATAAAGGAAAAGTTGTTGCTTGTCACTGCCCTGCAAAGAGAATTTTGCTACTGGAGAGTAATACAGTTACAGTAATGTAGGTGTTATCGCCTAAAGTGTTGTAAACTGTTGACATAAGTAGCTGCTTACAGGAACCATTAGTGTGTGCATGGTGGTGGCCGTGCTACTCTTTGTATGTGCAAGATTTTATAAAAGCCAGATAGTGCAAAGGAAATCTAATAGCTGGCAAACAATGAACAAAGAAACTGCCAATAACTTCCCAGAGATGGAGAGGGCACCAATTCGGAAGAAATATCTGACTAAAATATTAATACTTTCAAAAACCTGACTATAGCATGTACACCATATTTATTGATACATTTACAAAAAATCAATTTTACGTTAGCTCTTCAAGAAACATTTACATTTAAAACCATATTTGGCAATAATTGTTATACGTTTTATACAAGTGACATCTTACACAGCCAACAACTGCTAATGTGAGCTTTCATCCAGTGAAGTTCCATTCAGTGTGAAATCTGTGGCAGTCTAGTTGTGTATAATCTAGCCTGTCCTGTTATAGTGATAATCATTTTATGAGTGCTTTTAATACATGCTGGAATTTTAATGTTTGGGTGGTGGGTTTTTTTTTTTTTTTCATCCATTGTAAATGAATACAAGTTGACACAAGGATACAGAGCCACAATACATTAAAGTGTTTGCTCTTTCCCCATCTCTCCAATTAAATTGGTGAAAAATGTAACATTAGTATTACACAGGACATAGTAAAGCTGTCTCATCTAAGTGATGTCTATATTATAAAAATAAAATAAAATAATATAAATATGTAAGATGAACCCAGTGCCCATTGTTAAATAAAATACATGATAGAAAGCAGACCTTCTAGGATGACTGGTTTTGAAATATGTGAGTATAATTTAATTATTAAACACTTGAAACAATCTTGATATCAAGCTGCGATAACCAGATTTTTGCATCTATGCTAGATAAGGAAATACGTAACAGTCTGTAATAGAGTTACATTGATGAAGGTGAAGATTACAGTCTTACAATGAATTGCCTAGATAGGAATGCATAAAGCAGTTATGAAATAGTCTCATAACGTAGTTCATTTCACCTTAAAAACTGTTACAACTGGATTTCATTAAGTCCCGCAGTTTATATGGTGATGGTTCAAAACTGCTCTCTTACTGCAATGATTAGCCAGTTGCAGACGCAAGGTTTCTGGGATGTCAGTGAATCCATTATGACATTGGGAAAGTCCTTAAATGAAAATGTTTTGTAGTGGAATTGCTTTGTAAACTATTTCTCATGAAGAAATACATATTGAAAAACTCCACTAGCTGTAAAACCGTATTTGCGATACTGCTTGCCCATATATGTGTTGGGTACCTGTACATCTAGAAGATGTACACAGATATTAACACATAAACAATGAAGTTATCTGCACATTTCTGAATATTATATTTAAATTAATAAAGTAAATCAAATCACTGGTATTTGTTGCAGGATAACAGTCTTTAAAAAATGATAGGATTCAAAACAAATGCCCGTTGAAAGTGTAGTTTCCAAACAGTCCCCAAAACTATACAATATAGCTGGTTAGATCCAGCAAGTAGGATGTCATGTCTAGGATCTGATCGAGAATACCTGCCCTTGTAACTCTTCGGATGTTCCTATCCACTTGTTCACACTGGGGGCCCAGATAGCCTTTTTTACATAAGCATTTATTAGGCCTTACACAGACACCTCCATGTCGGCACGCTGGGTCACACTTCGCTGTGAGTAAAGAGAAAGAACAATTTCCTTATTTCTTTCAAGTATCACACAGCAAAAAGATACAATACATGTACATTGAGAACTACTTTTCTAGTCTAGTAATGGTAAAGCCCATAAATTTAAAACAAAATAGGATGAAATATCAGATGCTTTGAAATTGTATTTGTTAAAGTTGTAGAATATAAGCGGTAGGCAGTATTTTTATATGATGGAGACGATAACCCAGGATAGACTGAGAAACGCAAGGGGCAGATTTTTGAAAATGACCAATTCTTGCATTCATTTTGGCACATATTGGAGAGTAATCTCAAAAGACTTGAGGCTTCAACATGATACAATTTGAAAACAAGACATAGGAAATACATACCACTTAGACAGTGGTGGTCTGCATCATCCCATTTCTTAGGGGCAACCCAAAGAAATCCTGGAGTTGTGGAGGCACAATAGCACCCAACCATGTCCAAACTAGCAATTACCAAATCTTTCAATCCAAACTGAGTCATTCTTGCTCATCAGTAAAATCTCTGAAGCTGCTGAAATTTATGCTCCAGTCTACAAGAATTGTATGCTGACCCTAGCAGGGTCCTTCTGAGTGCCCTTCCAACATGAAGTATACTGTAGTCCTTTGTGTGATCCTTGCTTTGTCCTACCCTACAATTCTTTTCATCTTTCATTTCACCTCTGCTTATAGGCATCTAATCAAGTTCCCTGAGCAAATGTAAGTTGAAAGACTGTACTGATTCACTAATAGCAGCTTCTGGTACCCACACTTTTTCTGGAAAATCTGTATAGGCTGGAGTTACGTAGCTCAGCAGCAGTAACCACAGTCTCTGTGGGACACCGATAGCACAACCACAGTACTCAGTGTCGCTTGTTCATTCATCTTGCCCTCTTGGTGACATGCTCAATATCAAATTTGAATGCAGTTTCTTTTTGAAGTGACTTTTCAAAGGTAAACTATAGCAAAAAGACAGGTCCGCAGTTATTTGTCATGGGTTACAGTTATTTTCTGATTTTTAGCTGCTTTGCGATGACTTGTACATAGAATTTTTTTGACAAACTGGAGTCGTTTTGTTCTGTAGAATGAAAAATAAGTATGTTCTAAAACCGAATTAGTTGTATGAAATTCACTAAGTGCAAAATATGCAATAGCGACCTGCAGGCCTAATATTACATTCTTTCCTGACCAGTTACTCCTATTTGATATATACAAGATAAAATTGAAGGTGGGAGTTGAATGTCCAAACACTGAATATATATTGGCTGAATTTCCTGTCATTTTTATAGTATTGGTAAAAAACTAAGAATGCTGTTATCTGTCATGCTTATGTTCTTAGTTGCATTCTGTAGTGGTTCTCATTGTATTAGGTGTTTTAACTGTTGCACTGACATTAAAACTTACTCTTCCCCGACACCTCAACAGATCAGTATCTCATTTATGTTGTCTTAGAACTAATGGTCAATGATAGATGTTGAAAAATTCTCTTAGCAAACTACTAAAAGCAAATTATGCCGTATCATTGCTTTTCTCAGATATTGCTATGGATCTATGTACAAACCAGTTCTGCAGAACTCTCCTTCCCAGCCTTGATTACAGCAGCATTTTCCTGTAGGAGTGCAGTGCCCGTTCCGACAGTGCCTTGAGCATTCAGATGTCAGTATCTGTGCCGACTGAGCTGTTCTTTTGCATTCTTCAGGAACTAAAGGCCTGTGAGAAAGTACATGAACCAAATACTTCATTATGAGGTACATTCATTTTCTTCTATTTAGAAAGATCTTGACAATGAAAATAGTATACAAGCTTCATTTCTCATTGTAGGGTAATTCTTTTATAGGATTGTCAGTGGGAAAAATCTGTGTTCTAAGAGCATGGCTTTTTTTTTTCTTTCTCAAAAACACCAATGAACATAAAGGTGGTCTGTTAGAATACAGAAAAATGCATTATGATTTATTATTCTCTCATACAACTGCCTTCAGAAGACTTTTACAAGATTAAATAATAGTCCCTGAGACTTCTTGAAGCCTGAACTTGGTGAAAAGAACTTATCTCAAGCAGCATATATCTCCAGACTCAGGAGATGAATGGGATCTCAGCAAATTTCTTGTGGTGCTCAAGTAGCTGACTTCAGATAGGCAGACCCACAGGAAATTTGTGTAAAAAAACTGAAAATCTGTCTTGCTTCCATGGCAAAATTAAGTGAATGAAGCAGTGGGCTTGAGTGAAAGATGATATTCTCCAGGAGAAAAAGCCCTTTTTTTTCTAGCCTTCGTTTTTCTCTTTGGTCTGTCAAAGTAAGGAATTACTTATTCTCAGGCATACTGGACAGTTTATCTTCCTTTCTTGCCATTAGGAAATGTTGAAATAAGAAAATATGTGATATTTTTGAGAATGGGCAGAGAAAGAGTAACAAATTTTGCTGATGCTCTTAACTTTTGTGTGGATTTCTCCAATTTGAAAATTCACTTCTGTTTAGTGAATGCGTACAGGTAATGGAAAGAATAATCTGAACAGCAAGTTTTACGGCATACATTGAGAGACAAAATTTTGCTTCTGTCTACAAACTTGATTTGACTTTAATTTGTGGTCTGGATGCACCTTAAAACATCTGGATCTCAGGAAACATTTTTTTTTATACTTAAGGTGATGGAGCACTGGCAAAGATTGCCCAGGGGTGGGGAGATCTTCAGAAGCTGCCCGGGCAGCTGGGTGGCCCTGCTGGAGCTGGGGTTGGGTTGGATGGACCCAGGGGGCCCTTCCCACAGTGACCATTCTGTGGTCATGTAAGTGTCTGAAGCGTATGCGTGAAAGCAATTCTAGTTAAGCTGACCTAAAATATTTCTGATGCTGTTTTTTTGTTGAGCTTCTTGGTGTTAGGTCTAATGTAGTACAGTTTTTCTGTCAGTCCTTGTTTTGGATGTCTGGTAGCTTTTTTTCATTCAGAAAAGCACAGCATAATATTCCTTAACAAAGAATTATCTCTAGCATCTTAAGTTGGCTAAATGTCCAGCTAGAATCCAAACAAAACAAGCCAGAACAAAAAGGTACACAATAGTAGGAATTGAATAGAAAACAGTGTTGTTTCTCATACTGATGTAAGTATTAAATTACGTGCGGGCAGTGGGAATATGTACTTGCACGCTTGTTATATTAAAATCCTAGACTGGTACACCTGTGTGATAAAAGATCTTGACAGTCTTTGGAGTAAGAGAAATGGATGGGATGGAGGTGTAGAAAACACGAGGAAAAAAAAAAAAAGAGGAGGAAGATTGGGAATTCTTGTTTACATCCCATTTCAAGATCAGACGAAATGTTGAGGGAAAAATAAAACTGAATGAACTAATTGAACCCGTGGTTTCTAAGGTACCAGTGAAGCCCAGGTTAGCAGGATAGTTAGCTTTGTCTAGCAGGATTTTGATAAGATATTTCTAAGCACAATGGGGCCATTCCATGTAATTCTAGGTAGGGTAACATTTTATAGGAAAAGTAAGCCCACATACCTTATGTCACAGAGTTCCCTCACTAGCTGACTGGGCTTAGATTTTTTTTCACCCATTTTGGCATGCAGCTTTTTAATGGTACATTGCAGAGCTTCTCACATTTTTCTTTGAAGCAGAATAACAGAGCACAGGATCACTGGTTTGTTTCACCCTAGCACTTTCTCTGCTCAGGCTTAATTGCTAAGATGATTATTTAAACATCCATTCAGAACTGGTCTGCCCAATGATGTTAAGAACAAAAAGAATGGGTAGATGTATCATTCAGTGTAGTACCAACTTCTGATTTCTAAAGTTTCTTTGAGAAACAGATTCAAACTTCTGTGTTACTTAAAGGTTTTAAAACGGCATCTCTTGTCAAAAATCTCTTCAGCTTTTGCGTTCACGCATTTCTATGCTGTCTTTTAATTATAACGCATTATTTTTTGACCTGTAAGAAATTCCAGTTCCACAGTGATGAATGCGTTACATATGATCTGCTTAGGGAAGTTCCTGCACTTAAAAATTATATGTGAGCTTCACAGCCAATGTTGTTTTGAGAAGAGGAATACAAATGATGTGATTTTATGTGGACACTTAAGCAGATTTTAAGTAAAAATATCTGTCTTCTAATTGCTGCCTCAAGAAAAAAAAATATGTACAGCCATCTGCATAGGAGGCAACATTCTTTCTTCATCTGTCTCAAAGCCCATTTCTTTCAAGCTATTTTAGATGAAGCCCTCTCTTTTTCTTGTTCAGTCACAAGTATAGCATTGTGTTTAGCATGAAGAATAACCGCACGTTCCTGGAGCATCTCTTAGAAAAGAGCTCCAGTGGTATCTCTTCAGCAAAGAGTGATCTCCTACATCAAGATGATATTTTGTTTGTGTAGACGGTTATTTACTTTAATGACAGATACAAAACATTTACCTATGATAGTGCTGGAATATTTAGGTTATTTTATTCATATTTCATTAGGGATCCACAAATGCCATTTTGTATCAATCGCAGCATGACTGGCCACTTCTGTAATTTAAAGCTTTCTAATGCTCTTGGTGCTTGTGAATATAGCTTTGCCTTTTATTCTACCATCAATCAATAACTTGCACTCATCAGCCTTGGATAATATTTATTAAAGGTGGGGTGGAGTAGAAACAAAGATGGAAAAAATTCTGGTTGGCAGAGTGCCTTAGGAGAAGAGTAATACAAATGCAGCTGCAGCAGAATCCTTTTTGTGTGTGAGAAGAATTACTGTTTTTCCTTATTTGTACTATGGGAAAAGCCACACTTCTTTCTCAGGATTGGAATGCCATTCTGGTACAAACACATATCATGAGAAAGTCTCTGCCCCACAATACTTACACTTTACATTCTTAAGGCTTTAAGGGGTGGAAATTTTCAGGTTCATTGTAAGTGTTTTGAACTGAATCTTACAAAGATAACATAAGTCTCGAAACTGACTGCTGGGACTTGATCTTTCCAGCACTTAGACAGCGTAAGGTTTTGTTTATACAACTAGTGCTTCGCTGTGTCTCCTGACATGGAAAAAGGAGGGGAATAGATGGAGCCACACTGTGAGCTGGAGAGAATTTTTTTACTTGTCTCCCTCAATCTATAAAACTCTAAAGGGTACAGCTTGATTACTCTTCCAGTGAGCAGTACTTGGTGCGCAGAAAGTCAGCCAAAAATGTAGCTGATAGTGACTATTTATACGGTCTGTACAATTCTAGTTATCTTAAAGAGCTGTTCATATATACAGTATGGTACAGTATATCTTGCTTGTTAAAACATGCTTTCATGAAACTTTGTAACAAATCTAAGTGTATGGAACATGGAGGAAAAGTACTGGAGGCTGGGGCCCTTGCTGGGTCCCTTCACTAACGTGCTCAGTGAACTGAGAAATCTTGACTGGAAAATATGGAAAATAATTTTGACTGTGTTACTGTAGCTGGCATAGGCACGTAACCTCTGTTGTTAGCTTTGAAGCATACAAAAGGCTGACAAGCCTTATTAGATTAGAACTCATCATATGATTGCTTAGAATTCCACGCTTTCCTTCATACAGCTTTTCACTGCTCCACTGAGTGTGCAGTGATTTAGTTGTTGCATGTGTGTTAGCCTGTAACTCAGATATATGTAAATGGATGCAAATGGAGGGTCAAATTCATCAGTAATACAATGGCATTGAACAGAAAATAGTTCCTCCATCATGCCCTCGACACAGTATTAACAATCTCTCCTTTCCCACCAAAGTGGGAATCCAAAACTCTAGGATGTTCAAATTCTAGCAAATGAGAGGGCCACAGAAATCCTGATTGTGGTGCAAAATACGTGAAAGTAAAATTTTACCTCAATTAGCTGCACATAAGATATTGGCTATTAGAATGATATCCTAAAGTTTATATTTTTCCTTTATAAGGGAAAATGTCAAGAAAAAATAATTTTGCTTCATTGTAATTTACTACTTGTCACAGAATAAATACAGCATCTCTTCAGGTACAGTTTCTAAAATTAAAAAGTATACCTTTAGTCCTGGGAGAGATGCCAAAAGCTCGTTACTTGTCTCCAGATTTACTACATGGGAATAATGTGGAAAAAACTCGCAGCTTTTAAGATTTAAACTCAGCAGCATATCAAATTTATTCTTATATGGTATACTTGTTCATGACCTCTAGTCTTAAGAAATTCTGTCATGTTTGAGAACTAGTCCCCAGTGAAGCCTGTATCAATGTTAATAGCTAAGAGGTCAATGCAACTGCTAAACAGTTTGTATTACTGTCAGGGTGGTCATGAAAACAACACCTGCTGCATGAGCACTTGGCAGCTGGGTCAACAGGCACTGTGGGAATTTATCAATTTAGGGGGCCACTTGCATAACACTTTGACTGATGAATTGGGAAAGACTGGCTTACTGGGCTAAAGCTGCTCTATTATGTATGACTTTCTTTAGGATGGCAGAGGCTTCCTGCAGGCTCCAGAAAATAAGCAGAAGATAAACGGAGCTGGTTTTGCCTTATAAAGTGATAAAAAGTGAGAACTCCTTAATAGCCAACACTAGAAAGACTTAGAAAAATGAAAAAAAATCCCAAACCAAAACAAAAACTTTTACAGTCAGTGAGCTGTGATGTGATTGAAAAAAATCTTTAGGTTTTTCCATCGTGGTTACAAAGGAGGTTTTGTCAAGTACTTCTGTAAAGTGAAACTCTCTAGGCTGGTATTCGCAAAAAGCTCTAA